ACAATAACAACAACAACAACAACAACAACAAGCCTTTATCCTACTGAGTGGGGTCGATTACATGAATCTTTTTTTCTCCATTGTGTCCTATCTAGTGTCAAATTTTCATTCTAGTAGTAGTTAATCATATGACTATAATTTGTAACTTCAGGAGCATTTGTTGACCATAAACGCTAAAATAGAATGTTGTAACAACAATAGTTGGTCATGTAAGTTGTAGTGATGAGCTATAGAAGTGTCAACTGACCATATTAGTGATAGCAGTTGGCCACGTAGGTCGTATTGAGGAGTTGTGATAATATTCATAAGTCATAGAAGCCGAAGTTAATAGTTGCATGAGTTGTGAGCCATGTAGTTGGTCACATATGTTATAGTTGGGAGCTACATGAGTCGTGAGTCATGTAGGTTGTAGTTGGTCAGATACGATGTAGTGGTGAGTTGTGATAATGTTTATAGGACACGGAGGCTATAGTGGGGAGCCGCATATGCTGTGAGTCATGTAGGTCATAATTAGTCACATAAGTCATATTGGCGAGCTACAATAATGTCCGTAGGCCACATATGCTAGAGTTAGGTGATGCATGAGCTGTGAACCACTTAAACCGTAGTTGATCACATAGGCTATAGTGGTGAGCTGTCATAGTGTCAACTAAGCACAAAGGATGCAGCAGGGGGCTTTAATGACAACAGTTGGACACGCAGGCCACAATAGGGAACTACAATAATGTCTGCAACCTACATAAGTTAGAGTTGGTTGATGCATGAGCTATAAGCCTTGTAGGTCATAGTTGGTCAAGTAGGTCATAGTTGGGAGCTGCATAAGCTGTGGATCACTTAGGTTGTAGTTAGTGATGAGTTGTTGTAATGTTTGTAAACTACATAAGCTGGAGTTGGGATCTACATGAGCTGCAAACAACAAAAATCGTAGTAATGAGATGCAATATTTGCAGGCTATAGAGACCAGGGTTGGGAGTTGCATGAGATATGAGACACGAGGGTCATAGTTAGTCACATAAGCCTTATTGGTAAGTTGTGATAATGTTCTTAATCCATAGGTGTCAGAGTTGGGTACTGCATTAACTATGAGCCACACATGTCGTAATTGGTCATATAGTCCATATGATGAGTTGCGATAACGTTTGTAGATCATAGAGGTTAAAGCTAAGAGCTATATAAATTGTGAGCCACATAGGCCATTGTTAGTAACATAATCGTAGTTGTGAGTTGAAATAATGTTTGCTCTAGAGGCTAGCGTTATGAGATGCTTGAGATGTGTTACTTATGTCGTAGTCGGTCATAGTGGTGAGTTGTGATAAAGTGTGTAGGACACAAAGGTAAGAGTAAGGAATTTCATAAACTGTGAGCAACATATGCTATAATTGATCACATATGTCTTAATGATGATCTGCAATAGTGTTCAAATGCCACTTAGGCCAACATTGAGAGTTGCATGAGTTGTGTGCCACGTAGGTTATTTTTGTCACATATACCATAATAATGCATTGTAAGGGAGTCAATTAGCCTTAAGAGGCTATAATTGGTGATATATCAATAGTTAATTGCAATAGTGACATCACTTGTTGATATATGACAAAAGGAGAGAACTTCTGAAGTCCAGAAAAGGTCACAATATTCTAAGTTTGATAGTTGTCGAACAATTATTTCATGGACTTATCATCAGAACTTTGGCACCCCGTATCTGCAGTACGTCGTTGCGTAATATTTGAGACATCAAGTTACTCTAAAAAGCATATCGTTGCTCCACACGGTGCATC